CACATTGGGTCCCCATGAGTTGGAAATGATTCAGCGGCATCTGGTAGGTAAAGGAAGTTTTGAGGTTAAGGAACAAAAATTGAGGGAATTCTTTCTGGTATAAAGTTTTTTAGTAAAGCAGACAGATGTTTGCTGCAGTGATTGGGGACACATATGGAAACTTGGGGAGAGAAGAAAAGATCTAGAGTAGCCTCTGGGCAGAATGAAATCTACTAGGTATATGTATAAAAATCAAAGATGTCACTTTGATGACTAAGGTGCGCCTGCCCCAAGTCATGGTCTTTTCAGTCACCTCATATGGATGTGAAAGCTGGACAATGAAAAAGGAAGCTTGAGGGAAAATTGATGGCATTTGAATTGTGGTGTTGGTAAAGAATGTTGAATATACTGTGGACTGCCAAAAAACAAATCAGTCATCAGAGAAATACCACCAGAGTGCTCCCTAGAAGCGAAGATGGCAAGACTTTGGCTCATTTACTTTGGACACGATATCAAGAAAGACCACTCTGTAGAAAAGGATATCATTTTTGGTAAAGTAGATGGTCAGCAAAAATAAAGGAAACCTTCTGGGAGATGGATTGATATGGTAGCTGCAACAGTGAGCTCAAACATAACAAAGATTGAGGATGGCGCGGACCAGGCAATGTTTCATACCGTTATACATAAGATCACCATGAGTCGGAGCTGACTCAGTAGTAACTAACAAGAACAACAAAGGCATGGATATAAGTATAGATCAGCAGTAATGTGCACCCATGTAAGAGAAGAGAGCTGTAGTAGAGCTTGTCCTCCAGGTGATATGTTTTTGTTTGTTTGTTTGTTTTTTCATTCTGCATTGAGACTAAGAACAAAGAAGTATTGGTTATGGGCTAAATTGGAAGTTGGCAAGGCATGAAAGTACAGTAGAAAGTCACGGAGCTAAGGGCTTCTAATGAGCACTTGGCTGTGCATGGTGCTGTGGGTGTAAGGAAAGTTGAATTGTTGGCTAGAATGTCCACATGGGGTCCTGGTTGGGGGAGGTGTGTGACTTCCTCTTACTTGGCTCCTCACCTGGACCCTGGTCTTTCCCCTTGCCTACCTATTTCCCCAAGTTGCCTTGAATGTCCTTGATTATGGCAACAGATGCTCATTTTCTTTCAGCCTACAAATAAAAACGTGTATAACAGGGAGATACAAACCTTTTATTTTCATATTACATGGTCTTTTATCCTTTTTCTGATTTGGATTCTCATTTATATATTTTCACTTTCATAAGTCACGAAGTTTAAATGTTTAAGCATTTCCACCTTCAGTAGCCAGAAAGAAAACAAAGCAACAGCTAATATAGTAATAAATTTATCTCTAGCTGCAGGAGATAAGCTTCAATGCAATACGGCCATAAAGTATGGCTCCCAGGCTTAGGGGAAAAGCAATAAACTTTCATAAATAAAAGAATTTTAAAATACTCCTGGCAGTAAATAAGGATAAAATATAACTTGTAACTGGCAGCGCATAGCCAACAATAGAGCTACTTATAAAAGAAAACTACAAACTAACATAAGAAAATTTTTGTAGCTGTTGTTGTTGTTACCTTGCACCCTAGGTGGGCTGGCAGGAGAATTCACTGAGGTAAGTTTTTGCCTCACCTTCTGGAATGTTCTCTGTTACATCTCTTGACACCTTTTGATTTGCTGAAGATCTGTGATAATCACCATGGAAACCCAGGGGTAATGATGCTACAAATAGAGTTTTCAACAAATTTAAAGGTGTTAGAGAAGGTCTTAGAAAGCGAGGGGGTGGGGAGGACAAGACTGTGTACCACCGGTTGGTTAATGAGGACATTTGCACAGTTCTGAGGTTCACTTGGAGCCCTGGTGCCGAGGTGGTTAAGAGCTCACCTGCTAACCAAAAGGTTGGCAATTCAAATCCACTAGCCGTTCCTTGGAAACTATGGGGCAGTTTACTCCGTCCTATAGAATCCTATGAGGCAGAATCAACTCAACGGCAACGGGTTTGGTTTTTGGTATTTGAGGTTTACTTGACTTTCAGTTTTGCATTGTAGCTCCTCTTTAAAGAAATTCAAAGTTCTCCCAAAGTCCATCTCATATTTCAGGTTTTCAACCCAGGAGTTACTTGGGCAATAGCTTAAAAAATACAGAAGCATTTAGTGAGCAATGCTTTGGCTTGAAGGACTGTTAAGTAATGGATTATTTGTTCTCTAGAAAATTAGGAACCAAGTAGTAGAAGACTTTTTTTTCCCTCTCTTTTATAATCACAAAAGGTAATAGGGAAGAAGATGGAGTTCTGCCACTAGGATAAAACCAGAATTTATCAGTGCTCTCATTCAATAAATATGTATTTCCTGAGCATCTGTAATGGGCAGTCGCTGTGTTTGTTGCTGGGAAACAGGTTAGATATGGTCTTTACCCTGAGAACTTTGCCAGCACAGAGGAAGTTACACTTGGTAGCAGTGGAATGAGCCAAGGAGGGTGTGGCTAGGGTAAGCTTGGTTTTATAAGGTGGGTAGACTCTCCTGTGGTGGGAAGGGCATACTAGAGAGAGGGAAGTAAAGGAGTCAAGATGGTGGAGTGTATAGAGGTGGAAAAATAGGGAAGAAGGAAACATGAAGGAGAGTTGGGTTGGGGTTTATAGAAAGCCTTAAATGCCATTTTAAGGAGCTGGGACTTTACCATGTAGGCAGTGGGAAGCTATAGAAAGATTTTAGAACAAAAAGTGGCATGTTTTATGTTTTAAATTTATTTTATGGAGAGAAATCTCTGCTGGCGGTAAAGACAGGATGAAAGACAGCTGATGAGGGCTCTAGGGAAACAACAGGGAATGGTGTGGGCATTCCAGTTCTAACTGTCTTTGCCTGGTGCTGTCTAAAGTTTGATTTTTTTCTTTTTAACTGAATCACATAGAGAAAATAAGATAGCGCAGACCTTTAATTCTGTGTTTGATTTCACTTCTTGGTAGCCATATATTCTTGGGCAAGGAACTTAAACTCTGTCTTATCTTTCTCATCTGCACAATGTGAATCATAGTAGAGCCTTCTTCATAGGGTTGTATCATTAACCAGTTGCCATCAAATCGACTCCAACTCATGACGACCCACCCCATTTGTGTCAGAGTAGAACTGTGCTTCGTAGAGTTTTCAAGGCTGATTTTTTGGAAGTGGATCACCAGGCCTTTCTTCTGAGATGACTCTGGGTAGTCTTGAACCTCCAACCTTTCGGTTAGCAGCCAAGACATTAACCATTTGCACCACCAGGGACTCTACATGGGGTTGTAACAAGTGTTCATTAAAATGTTGTATCTGTACCTGTAACCCTTGGAACAGTGCCCAGTGTGTAGTACGTGTTAAATGTTACCTACTGTTATTTTATTTCTTTCATCAGATCAGTGATTTACTTATTTATTCGTTAATATCATCTATGTAATTTGCTTTTAAGACAATCCAGGGTACTATGGATTGTCATTGGTAAATTTTGCTTGCAGAATCTTAACCGACATTTTCTCCTCCTTTCATAAGTCCTCTTGGGCCAAAAATTTCCAGCAGGAAATAGGAGGGTGAGACCCATAAATTAGAACAGCTACTTCACCCCTGATGTGAAGTGTGAACTGAAAATTTTGCAAAGAATGCTGCTCTGTGCTGGTGTTTTGCATCACTAGGTGTGTAATGGGGAGCAGGGGAAGTGTTAAGTCAAGTTTCACTCTGGGAGAAGCTGGGCAGTCTGACTTACAGTACAACGTGGTTTTATGATTTTGATAAACAGGTTCTGAAATGCCAGAACGTAGTTAAAGCCACATTTGAATACAAATGCAGAAACACCTTTAAAAATTTCCAGTATAAAATTTAAATTACCTTTGCCTGCCTCCCTCTTTGTAAAAATAACTGCAGTTTGACAACCATAGTCTCAACTTGGAACAGTAATTATATTTCCCATGAATATAATAAAAATTTATTATATAAAATATACATGTACTATGTTAGAGGTATATTTCCTGTGTAGATATAGATTTGTATTTATTATATAAATAACTGCAGGCTCAGATATTGGCACTCAGAAAAAAATCTAATTGGAGAGAAACTGTTCCTTATATTTCCTTGTCCAAGGCCAGTGTTAGGGCTTTTGTGAAACAGGAAGCTTTCTCCACTAGGTTATAGGAAGAGTCTACAGGATTTGGGGAGAAAAGCTCGATATCTAGAAACTTTCCCTTTGAAGAGCTGGGAAAGCAGTCTTGACAGAGGGAAACAAATACATCCCCTCTGTATGGCTGAGATGAACAAAGCTTTCCTTGACACTAAAGGGGTGTGCGTGCGTGCGTGCGTGCGTGCGCGGGTGCGCGCGCGCGCGCCAGAAAGTAAACTCTTCGTTGATGGAAGGGGGGTTGTGTCTTTTATTTGATCCACCAAGATTACCAAGCCAAATGTCACCATCCCCAACTAAAATACAGCATCATGAAATCGTGATTAAAATTTTAGAAGCCAGTTCACGAAGTGGCAAGAGATTACGGATACTGCATTTCCTCTTCTTGGTTACTAGGAATTAAATTTCAATAGTTTTGAGTACTTTTGAAAGAATACCAATAAATTATCTAAATTATATACCCCAACTTTTTCCCTTGATTCATGGCTAAGCAATTTTGACTAGTTAATATCGTAGGACAATTTTTTAAAAAAACATAATTTACTGAAAATAGTCTGCAGTACTGTGATTGTGTGGTTAGAATAATGAGATAGGAAGGCGGGGAGATAACAGGAACAGGTGACTTACAGTCTAGTCCCAACCCTGCCAGAAACAGATGTGAGCCTTCAAGGGAATAACTTACTTTTTCTGATAATGTTTGTCCAATCTTCTTCATGGCTTTTGTGAGAATCAAATGAGTGGAGATGTGTGAAAGCAATTTGAAACCTATAAAGCACAAAAAATAAATGTAGTTAATTCAACATCCATAAGTCATCTTAATAGAAGAAGTAGGAATAAATCTTGAGGAGCATTTTTTGTTTAATTTTACAGGGGACAAGGGAAACTCTCAGTCATCACTGCACCACCCTTGGTGATGCTCTTCAGAAAGAGAATGATTTTGCTCTTATAATTGATGGGAAAACTCTCAAGTATGCCTTAACCTTCGGAGTACGACAGTATTTCCTGGACTTAGCTTTGTCATGCAAAGCTGTCATTTGCTGCAGGTAAGTTCAAGCTTTCCTTAATATTTTCAGACTTCACTGAAGAGTGACTTGATCCTAAATTCTTGATTTTTAAAGTTCCTTGAAGTTATTCCATGTAGAATTTGTAAGCATTAGGTTATATATTAATTCATTCATCCAAGACTCAAGGTTCAGAAACTGTGATAGAATGTGTTAGCAGAGCTTTTGTAAGTCAGGTCTCACAATTATTAATCATTATTGTTTATAATTTGAATCAACAGTCTTCTTGCCATTTTCTGGGTATAAATTAGATTATTTATCTGCATTTCCATCTAGGGTTTTTTTTTCTTTTTTTTTAAGGGTTCTATTTCCTACGATGTCCCTGGGTAGTACAAATGCTTAACGGTTTGGCTGCTAACTAAAAGATTGGTTTGAGGTTTGAATCCACCCAGAGGCACCTCGGAAGAAAGACCTGGCGATCTACTTCCAAAAAAATCAACCATTGAAAACTCTATGGAGTACAGTTCTACTTTGATACACATGGGGTCACAATAAGTCAAAGTTGACTCAACGGCAACTGGTTTGTTTTCTACACTTAAATCTTTGATCCTACTGGTAGGACTTACTTTGGCGAATGGTATGATTAGAGGTGCTAACTCACATCGTTTTCCACATAGTGAGCATTTTCCTGAGGTTTGTGCATTGACTATACTTTCCGTTGCCCTCTGATTTATAGTATTGCCAATATGCTAAATTAAAATCTGTTTTGAGTTATCCAGGCCTAATCCATAAAAAGGAGCCCTGGTGACGCAGTGGTTAAGTACTTGACTGCTAACCAAAAGGTCAGCGATTCAAACCCACTAGCCACTCCATGAGAGAAAAATGTGGCAGTCTGCTTCTGTAAAGATTTACAGCCTTAGAAGCCCTAGGGGGCAGTTCTGCTCTGCCCCATAGGGTCGCTATGAGTTGGAATCGACTTGACAGCATTGGATTTGGGTTTTGAATCCATAAAATTGCATTTTTGTTAGCTGTTTAGCTCCAGTTCTTTCTGAATTTCTTGTCGGGGAATCTTCTCCATTTCTTTCTGTAAGTTGTGTAAACTATGTCTTCCTAAAATCTAAAGTATATTCGTGACTCTTGTCAGTCACTTCCTTTCTGGTCACCGTGAAACCTAAGGATTTTTCTCTTTGCCATCCATTTATTTAATCTTACCAGCCAGTCAGACTAGGGCCAGGATAGCCATTTATCATATTGCTTTCTCTTCCTGGAAGATGAAATGTTAGCAGGGCTTCTCAAGAATGTCTCAGAATCTGTGCTTTTAACGGTATTTTTCAAACTTCTATTTGCTTTTATTGTTTTCTTTTAAAAGATATTTATTAATAAAGGAATGTTGTACTTTTTATACCTGTCTTTGTCAGCAATTATTCACTTACATATCCGATATACATAGTGTTTTCTGCAAACTAGGAAGCTATATCTTATAGATATTTTCTAACTTCAATTGATATATACTTTCTGAAATAGAATTTAAACCATACTCAATAAGTATCCTTTATAAGCATCATTTCAGCCTGCAAAATTAAACTCAGAGAATTAGGAGTTGCTTATTATTCCCAGGAATCCAGTTGTTTTAGTTGTATAATTTCTTTTTCTTCTCTGTGGCAAGTATTAATAATATTATTTTAAATCTCTTGGCCAATGTATTGTACAGATGTTTAATATTACTGATAATCAAGCACTTTGCTTAAAATCGTGAAGAACGAGTTGGAAATAATTTCATCTTGACAGTCTCATATGTACTTTGGTATCCTTGTGCCTTTTAAAATCTGCTTTTGCAGTGACTCTTCATGATTCTTTGTTAATCTCTTGATAGAGTCTTAGTAATGTTCAGCTTTGACACTCTTCCATCAGGATAATGTTGTGCCAGACTTGTTCATTTAGTCATTTTTACTAATTGGGATCATAAGGATCAACAAAGCATTGCTCAGAGGCACATGAATGACATGACTGTTGGCTCCTACTTGGAAACAGAACCCAGAGCTCTTTAGATAACATGACCAGTTCAGTTCAGTCGCTATTATGTGCCTGCTGTATGCTGGGTGTAGACGCAGCACATACAAAGAGGAGTAAGACTTGCTACCTGCCCTCCCTCCTGCTTCTTTCTTGATCTGTGTTAAGTAGAATCATAATTGGTTTGAAAGACGTGGGAGGCTAGTTTTCATAATGCATTCATTGCAGCTGAGCCTCATTCTCACAGCATTGCTAACTCAGTACCTCCCACCATTCTTCAAAAAGTTGAACCACAAAATTAAACAATAGCAGAGGGAGAGAAAAACTAGAAAGCAAAGTCAAAGGAGAAAAAAATATGTTCTGTGCTTGTGAAATTCCCTCCCGAGATCCTTGTTCTGGATACTCACAAGTCACATGGAGCTCAGGGCTCCTCCCGGCCCCAGGCCCCTGGGAGGTACTCACACTGTGCTGTGCACGTGCAGCTCAGCTCTGAAACTGAGCGTATAACGATGTGTGTGGCCCTTTCCTCCCTCGGTCCTCTTTTATGCATGTTTGAGGACTGTGAAGGTCCCCATGCAGACACGGAGTTTTACTTAGAGTTTTAGTATTGTTTTGTTGTTGTTGTTGGTTTGTTTTTTGAGTAAAATATCTTCCCTCAGCTTTTTTCTTTTCATTACCTTCATACTCTCTCTTTTCCCATAAGGACTGCGGTTCAGCTTCCGGCCTGGCTTTGAGAATCGGTCTAAGCCCATAATTACATCAGTGCCACTGCCGGATTTATGTCTGTGCACCTTCTTGGCACCAAAAACATTGGCGTGCTGCCTCTTGGCATCTAAACTATTGGCACAAGCTGTCTTGTCATTTAGCTTACTGACCTCTAAGTATAATTTCCATGATAATGCTTCTACGGCTGGATAGGAATAGGTAGATGATTCATACATCATTCTTTACAATTAAACCAAAGTGCCACTCAGTGTTTCTCAGATGATTACAATCTCCCAGCCTCAGGAAATTCTCTATTTTACCCCATTATAAAGTAGACACTCCAGATAAATATTGCATATTATCTCAAAATACAGTATGGCACCGCTTCCTAACATCGTTTGTTCATTTGGTTTTACAGGCTTTCCCCTCAAATCTAAACCACTTTCCAGTCTAGTTGTAGTCCGTCCACACGTGAAGATAATTCAGAATCTGATCTTCCCCTGCAGTCTTCTTTTTAGCCATTGCTGGAGTGGAAGTAGAGGGAAAGCCTTCCCGTAAGAGATAATGAGGCTCTGGATATTAGTTCCATCTTCAGTATTACATCAGCCACTTTCTTCCCTGACGTTATCAACATAAAGGGCAGAAGGCAGATTTTAGTGTTTGCCTAATAGACAGAGTTATAAGGATGAGAGTTTTCCCTGAAGAGTCTACAGCTGAATTAAAAGAAACAGTTGTTCTCAGTCAGTAGTCATTATGTTTCTTACTCACCACTGTTTTCTGAAGGGAATATTCAGAGACAGAACTAATCCTCTACCCCAAAATTATTCAGGGCTTTGGAGTCCTGGTATTGGCTTACAAAGTGAAGGTTGCATGTTATACCTCAAATAATTTTTTTAAACATGTAAAACCCAAGAATATAATGAAATCTGTCTTCATCAGTCTAACAAGTACTGTATTTTCATAGATACTTTGTAGCTTTTCTGCTTTTATCATCGTGTGCATTTACATTTATGACCTGAATAGGTTTATAGGAAACGTGCCTCTAGGTTTTAGGGTAGTATCTGTGTTTTCCTGGTTATAAACATGAACTCTTTTGCGTTTCATCTTCATTTCTATTCTGTTACTCAAACACATTGATTCTTATCATTTGGAAGGATCACAAGTAGTTTTGAAGAACAAATGAAAGCTATGGACCATCTCTTCCAGAAAGATAAATACACACACACACAAACATGCAAAATGGCTCACACCTTGGACATCAGATAGAGTGGGGGAGAAAGCTTGCTCTGAGATTCATGTGAAGGTTTTGTACACAGTAAAATCAACAGCTGTCCTGGAGAGGAGCTGTACCAGATAAATAATTTCTCATCTCAATGACAGCTGCTTTATGTCCTAAGGTCTTGCAGCTTGTATGATTGGTATAAAGGCATTTTAGCTGGGCATTCACAAAATTCTTATTCCAGCTCTACCCCTGTGGCATTTTGATGGAATCTCTCTGGCCTTGGTTTTGTGACCTGTAAAGTGAAGAGAATGGAATGTAGCAGTGATTTCAAGCCCTATGGGGGACCTGGATATATAAAGCAGATGAGAGTGGAATTGGTCTGACATAGAAAAATGGGAAAGGCATACACACACCACCCTTCCTGGGTTATCTCCTTCCAGCTTGAAAGCTTCTGGACCAGAGGACCTCTTATGTCCCTTTCAGCTTTTGGATGAACCCCACTTCTGTTGGCCACTCTGTGCTGGGAATAGTCTTTTTACTGCCTGAATCAGCTTAATTTTGGGAAGCATCTGTTCTACCTCGTTTAATATTCCCCCCAGAAGACAGTGGGAATGTTGCAGTGAAGTATTGCTGTGTGTTAACTAGCATGCAGTTTCTAAGGTCCTAGTCAGTTCACATAACCCAGCCTTTCACAGAATTTTACATTTTTTCTGTAGTTGTCAGTTTAGTTTAAACATATTTTGAAACTTATGTTTTGTGACAGTTGGTTGAAAATTGGCTTAGAGCCTCCAGCTTTTAGACTGTCTAGTAATCACCGTTTTTCTACATAATTTATGTACTCATGTCTTCTCAGAAGCAGAAGTTAAATTGAAGTAAGCATTTTTCCTGACTTGCAACATCTCTAATCAAAGTTTAACCCCCTTATAGGCTCTGTCCCCTGTAGTGTATAGAAAAACACTTGTCTTCAGTGAACGCTGTCATTTGGGAGTGGCATTCCAGACAAAACCTTTCACCTTAGCCCGATCAAGAGGTCCCCCAAAAAGAGGTCTGAAGGGACGCTGAATGCTTTCTGTTGTGGCTTGAGTGCACTAAATAAAGGGTCAAG